GTCACGTGGTCACGTGTCAGTGAAATTTTTTTGGTGTGTTTTTTTTGGCAGTCTAGCTGGATGTTTGATGATGTTTTGAGCAGTTTTTGATAGTTAATTTTGCATGTGTTGGGTTTAGGTGGAATGACACGTGATTTGCGACAGTGATTTGGACGGATTTGGTTAGGTTGGCAAAAAGATGAATGAGAATTTTTTTGGATGAATCTGGCATATGCCGATTGTTTATATCGACGCGGACTGTTTTTGGCAGGTGTTTAGCTTGTCGACGATGGTTTGTTCGATGAGATTTTTGGTTTTGCATATGGTTTTTGCGTGTTTTGGTGGACGCTTTTTTGGGTTTTTTTTCAAAATTTGGGAGTTTTGTCGGTTGCAATCGATGAACATGTATGGGCATGCTTCTTGATTGTATCTTTGTCGTTAGGTAGGTTTCTCTGCTGTTGGGTTTAGGGTTAATTCTTTGTATTTGTTTGTTTTATTTGTTGCGTACGCTTTTAATTGATTTGTGTTTTGGTGTCATGGTTGAGAAATGTACTGTTTGGGACGTTTGAGTTTGGAAAAGTGTAGATGTCTTAGTGGAGGACTGGAAGTTGCATTTGTGGGATTCGTTATATTGTTCATGCAGATTGTTGTATCTTTTCTTCTAATGGATGATGTTGGTATATGTATCATTGTTGCGAGTTATTAGTGTCTTTTTGAAATAAGAATTGTGCCCATGTCTAGTTAGTTGCTTTGCATGGAATGTGGAATTTGCGACAAGTACGATTGTCTCCATGTGCTGTGATGAGTGTCATCGGAATGGCAAGAAAATCCTGAGTTCTATAGCGCTGTTTTGATGATATCAGTTGTGTTTCTGTTTTGTTTTCGTATCATGTGGTTCAAGGGTTTGTTGGTAAGTTGGATGATCGCACGATAGCCTAGGAATGCTTTGAAATTCAGATTTGAAAAGTGAGATTTGTCTTACAGCAGTGAAGAAAAGATGAAAGTTAGAATTACGATAAATGTAAACCTATTGTTATGTTTGACGTTGATGAAGTATGTATTGTTACTATATTATACTTGTGAAACTTCGACGTAGTGTACAATAGAATTTGAAACGTAAGAGTATTTCCAACTATTTGATTGTTGATTGCAATTTTTTAAATTGATATTATTTGTTCGTAGGTATCATGGTTAACTGTCTAGTACTACCGTCTTACAAACATGGTTGTAAATTCTTTTACGTCGGTTCTCGTCGTTTCGAGGGCAGATCGTAGAGTGAGACTTTGTTGATTTGACTGACTTTACCAAGCGTAGATATAAATGATGGAATGAGCCATTACATCTGTTTGTTTTTATTCCCTTTGCACTAGGACTCAAAAAAAAACGTGCCTAGTATCCTAATTTTTTTGTTATTACTTCAGTTACACATATTTGAGTGGTTTAGGACATATAGAGTACTGAAATTCATCTTATATTCTAGATATTTATTTTCGCATTGCTACGAATTTTTCAAGGATTTGTTCTATCCTTCAGCGTCTACTATAGATTAGAATGGATAAAAAAGAAGATCAACAGGAAGACTTAACTAAGGTTAAGGCGACTAGTAATCGTCCTAGCACATTAGCTCTGGTAAGTTTCTTTTTACAAAAACTAAATAGCTAATAGTTTCAAATATCAGTACTACTAAGAGCCCGTATAAAAATGATACTTTTTTCTTTTTGAAGAATCAAACTACTGCTGCTACTACTACTACTACTACTGCTGATATATACCAATTTTACAATATTGATAATATTAGTTTGACGCCGTCACCATTGCCTAATCAACCAATTACATTCCAAAAATGGTCCGTGATTGACCGTGCCACCTACGAACGTGTCTATGCTAGTGTGTATGGACATCCACCAATACCCACACCCGAACAAGAAAAATTCGAAAAAAATATGGTGCTATTAATGGAAGCAGAAGCACAACAAGAAGAAAAACAAGAAAAAGATGATAATGAAAATGGTGGACAAAGTTTAAATGAAGAACCATTCGATGAAAATATTCTTACACAGACAAGAAATCATGAGATTGAACGTCTTTCACAAGTCATCGTGGAAAGCCAACCGATCAATGATGAAATAGCAGCAACTATTATTGAACAACTTGATCTTGTAATTGATGCTGCTGTACCTGTAGATTCAATAGTGTTGGATAGTGTCGAGAGGCTGAGTACACAGGAGGAAGTACCATTGATTTCATCTATGATCGCTACACATCCTTATCCACCCATATATCAAGAAGGTATCGTCAGTGATCATGACCGTCCCTATGCAGATTACGGCCATTTGAGTAAGTTGAAATTTTTTTGTTTTTACCGACATTACACAAGAGTAAACGAAGAAAGAATTTATATCTCACTTTTTGACTTACTCGCTGTTTCTTTTTTTCTTATTCTCTGCTTCTCTTTCTATGTATGTATGTGTGTGTGTGTATTATGTTTGTATTTGAAGATGCAACGACAATCGCCAAAGAATTCAATTTTTTTGATATTGTACAAAATAGTAGAAAAGAACAGGATGTATCAACGATTTCTGCGCCACCACGCAAGAGTGTAAAATCATTTGCCATTACCGCATGGTCAACAACATCGAGTAAGTAATTATGTATATCAACGCCATGTCTTTTCTTCGTATATACATATATACATATCAGTATGATACATTCACGGAATCCAAAACTATCATCAACTATACATCTTTTGTCTGTTTGTTTTTTTTTTTGCTTTTCTATATTGAATGTAGAAGAAACATTTATGAAGGAAATTAAACGATTGTATCGTCTCGAACAACTTCAATATGTTTGCGTTGCTCAAGAACTTGGTGAGCAAAGCAACAAACATCATATTCACGTGCAAATTATTTTGAAACAGAAAGGAAATAGAAAAACATGGTTTCTAGATCATATTGCTGGTAAGAGTAAATCAATTATAAATTACTTTTATACTGATACAAAATTGTATGAATTCACATTGTGTTTAGTTTGATTGTTTCGATCAATTTCTATTTTGCTTTTAATATTTAGGTACACATTGTCATTATGAAGTGACGAGAAATGATCGGGCCTGGAATGAATATATAAAAAAGGGTTCGTAAAACATATTGCATTATTTAGTTCTTTACCAATTCTTTCACACAAACACACAATCTTGACTACTCTATTTTTTATGTTCCTATACTAGTGAAAATTGTTGATATGGATATCTACACTTTATTTAGGTCAAGATTTTATTGAATTTGGTTCGTTTAAATCAACAACAAGACAAACTCAAATCACATGGCCTACACAAACAACACCATGTCCACTATCATCATCATCATCATCATCACCACCACCACCACCAGCACCAGTACCACCACCACCAACAACAACAACCACTTTGAAGCACGATGATCATACGACTAATCTACGGCAACAAGCAAATAATAGACGTCAAGAAAAAATAGCAATTGCAAAACATGCCATAGAATTGGCACGGACAAGTGTCGATAGTGCCATGGATTATATTCTGAAGATGAAACCCAATGAGTTTCTAACCCATAGTACCTGGTATGATAAGAAAACAAAAAAGTGTATCACAAAACAAAACAAAAACAAAAAAAGAACATGAATGAATCGTTGACTGATATGTGATTTTTGTTTTGATTTGTTGCTAAAAACAAAAAGAAAAACAAATACCTCTCTTGTTTTTTAATGCTAGTTTCTTGTGTTATAATTTTTCTTCTATGTTCAAAGGTATCTCTCTTCATTCAATTATATTCATTTACGACAACAACAACGTTATGATCAAAATGATCCAAATACAAAAGAATACGTATGGCCTCATTCGTTTCCAGATTGTACTCCAGCTTTGAGTATGTATCATCATCTATAAATTGCGCGTTCAGTTCAGTTTAGAAGAAAACAAAAAAGAAAAACAAAATAGAGAATCAAAAATAATCATTTCTTCTAGATAAAAACGATGTACATATATACATCTCTCTCACTCTGTCTTAGTATATATACCCGTGGGGAAAAGTCTTTCTCACCCCCCCCCCCCATCTCTTTTCTTGCCAAAGTTTTCTCTGCTATTATAAGGACAAAACATGGGTGTTGTTCTGACCGATGAGGAGGTTATTAGGGATCCTCTTTTATATGGCCCGAACAACATCATGTTTTTGTCCTTATAATAGCAGAGAAAACTTTGGTAAGAAAAGAGATGGAGGTGGGGAAAAGACTTTTCCCCACGGGTGTATATATATGTTTTCTACCGTAGGAGATGCAATGAATTATTGGTTAACGAACCATTTTGTACGAAGAAATGGAGCAAAATGTCTTATTTTAATTGGACCAACATCTGTTGGCAAAACAGCATTTGCACTATCATTACCAGGTCGTGTCAATTATTTCCTTGGCCGATGGCATTTGGATGAATGGAGTGATTATGCGCGATATTCAGTCTTCGATGAAATACCTTGGGATGACTTTGATAAATTGAATTTTCCAAATAAAAAAGGTCTTCTCTTACAAAAAGGACGACTCAAAGTAACTATATATCATATTTTTTTTGACAAAAAAAAAAAAGTTCTTTTCCTTCTCAACTACATTCTTTTATTTTGACATATTCTCAATATGTCTATTCTAATATACAAACACACAAAAAAAATAATTTGTTCTAGGCTACAGATAAATATCGAGGTACGACGACAATCAATGTAACACAACCGGCTATTGTACTTCTTCATGAATATACCGATGTTGGATCATTAGCCACGAGACCAACAACAATTCCAGGTTGTGCTGAAGCTAATTTTTGGAATAAAAGAGCACTTATCTATCGAATGGGTACAGTCGAATTAAAAATAATTCTATGTAAAAATAAAATGCTAGTATGAGAGATGTCTTCTAGGTCAGGGTGAATATTTCTGCAAACCACCAAATCGTCGTCAAACTGATAGTGATGAAGATTCATCAGTTCGTTCCCTTATTGGTTCGCAAGAAGCGCGTATTGGTGAACCGAATGAATTTGAACAAACGACACGCCAATGGGTAGAGAGAAACCAATTACAGGAATAATACACCATCGGGTTGCATTCCGATATTCGAATTGAACGTTAGATTTCGAATGAGCACAGTCTTGTTTCGTACTTTTTTTTTCCTTTCTTCGATGCTTTTCTTATGTTAATCTAGCTTTCTTGTTATTTGGTAATTTTTTTTTTTTGTTCGATGCTTTGCTTATGTTAATCTAGCTTTCTTGTTATTTGGTAATTTTTTAAAATTTTTATCCTTTTTTCTTCTCATTCTTTATATTCATCGATTTGTTAAGTAGCATAGTGAATGTGTATGTTTATTTGATATTGTTTCTTTCCTCTCATATTTACTGGTTAGTTTGTTTATTTATATTTACTTTATTTACTAAAAATAATCGATGATACAAAAGAAAATTCTGTCGTATTCGATAATCTATTGTTAAACGTAAGTTTTCCAATGAATTTCTAATTTGTACTTAATACTGTGTGAATTGGTTGGATAGAGATTGAAACATTTCATATCAATGTTTCTTTCCAAAAAATTGCAGTGACGTTTTTGCAACGAGAGACTAATTGGAAGATTGTAATGAAAAGAAAAAAGAATAGAGTGTTCGAAAGTGTGTTTATGTTTTCTCTTGTTTTGAGAGATGTCAAATATCGAAGTACTTTTTTTTTTTTTGTTCTAGAATAGCATACAAATGACATTCTGATGAGTATAAATACATTTTTTTTTTCTTGAAATAAAAGAAAAAAGAACAAGAACTTAGTTAGAGAAACAGAGAGATAGGATGAGATACAAGAAATGGTGCACACACAGAAAAAACAAAACCGAGAAAAACAAACTAAAAACAACCATAAACATTTTTTTTTTCTTTGGTTTTGTTTCCAATTTGATAAAACATAGAGTTTTCTTCTATCATAAGACAAAAAAATGAGAGGTACAACAAAATTCATAGTTTTTTTTGTTTAGATGTTTATTTGTTGCGCATCACCATTAGTGTGCAATAATTCATTGATTTGCCATTTATGAATAGATGAAAGCACGAGAGTTACAAACATTCTTCTACATTTTGCTAGAGCATTGTGAGTAGAGATAGACAAAAAACGAAGAAGAAGAAGAAGAAGAGGACAGATATGCTACTTATACAATCATCAATAGATTTATACATGATATAAATGAATTTTATTCTTAATTTTACAAAAGAAAGAAAGAAAGAAAAGCTTTGTAATTGGGACGAATATTAGAATAAAAGATTTACAATTTCCAGATAAATTAGATTACAAACACCCATGTGTTTTGTGTTTCGATTACCCGAAACTGCTTCATATACAATTGCGATTATTGTATTCCAAATTCCAAATAACACTCTTCCGGTTACCCTTGTTCTTTTCCTTTCTTTTTTTTTAATTATAAACTACCCATCACACCCAGATCACGAACTCCTAGTCAATTTGTTTTAGAAGGAAAAAGAATCCTTTCGGAACATCCGATCACACACCCACACCCTCAAAAAAAGGGCTTCGGAATTCTTCGTGCCAAAATGTCTTTTATTCGTTGAATACATACGAGAGTGAACTTATTCTAGCTATTATTGCACATAGATATGTTCTTTTTTACTTTATTATTTTGTTGTGTTTTAGAATAGCAATCATCAAGCTATTGAACGAATAGCTATGCATGAAATAAGTAAACTATTAGATGTAGTTGATGATGTAAAAAAGCTCAGAATTTCATGGTATTAATTTTCATCATTTCAACGAACTGCTGGAACAAGAAAAATTTAGAATGATATTCTTTGTGGCATTTGTTTTTATTGTTTGTTTTCTCTCTTTTTAATTAATGTTTCTCTCCTGTTGCACAAAAAAATACATTAGATTTCATCTTCTACAATTTCTCTGTAGTAGTAGTAGTGATTAGACTGTTCGAAGAAATTCATAGTATTATCATTTATTACAGATTACGAGTAATGAATTCTCTCACGATGCAATCTTATGTAAATCTTCGAAATCAACTGCAAACAAATCTCCAATACACTTATACGCATGCAATAGACAAGGTAAATGATTATCAATCAATTACCTTGAATGATAACAATAGAACGAAACGTCTCACTTATTTACCATGTTTTCCTCTTCGAACTATGGATGAAACAACATCGGATATGTCTCAATTACTCTTAGCCAATGTTCCACGTATGTTAAATAAATTTCATTATATTTGTCAATTTTGTAACAATTTTTTTCACTCTCTCTCTCTCTCTGCCAGCCTGGCATATTCTTTTCATTTGAATGACCATTACTTTTTTTTTTTTACTGAATTTCTCTCTCTCTCTCTCTCTGGTCGTCTTACCTTATGATCTTATGTTGTTCTTTTTTTCTCTCTCTCGTGCAATAGAATGCTGCCTTAGTTTACGTCAATGGTTACAACGTCGCTCAGAACAATTACTTTATACAAAAGGATCACTAGATTCTTCAACCATCCTAAAGGCTCATCAACAACGATATCAATCATATGCATGTTATAGATTACAGAAACATTTCTCACATTTAAGTCAATATTTAAAAGTAAATCTATCCATAATTGATTCTAACTTGTTACGATTAGAAAATTTTATTTACAATGAATACATGAGAATGTTTCCAGAAAGTAAACATGCTATTTCATCATTCCCATTTTTTAATGATGATGATGAACTGGCCATGGCAATGAAATATTATCTACAAATGGATGTCGATATGTTCTATATGAAAATCTCTCCATTAATAACAATTGAATATAATTTCTCTGATCAAGATCTTTTTTTTCAAAATGAATATCAACAGCCTGTTGTATCGTATACACTTCAACATTGTAAACAAATCAATTGTTATTTATGTCAATTATCTTCATTCTTATCAGGTTCAATGATTCAATTTGATTCGTATATGAAACATTGTTTTGCTAATCAATATCAATCTATATTAAATGGTCCAGCAACCTGTCAAACAATGAATATTATCTATGTTTTTACATGTCCATGCAAGAAATATGAATTTATCGGTTCTACAAGTCAAGGTGTAGTTGATGTAATACATTATTATCGACGATCATTAAATGTATATTTACATGAATATTTTTTTGGTTTATATAATCAAACTTCAGCAACAACAACCTCATCATCATCATCATCATCATCATCATTATCAAATACTAAATTATTTAGTTCTGTCTGTGACCAATTACTATATGAGCATGCGATTAAATGTCCTGCTATTTGGCAAGTTTTTCTACAATATAATCCAGATTATACTTGTTTTATTCCTTCGTTCATACTACAAAAACCGATCTATGGTAATTTGATCACGATGGATAATCAATTGAAAATGTCGAAATCATCAAATGAAATATCAAATCTTAATGAAACAATATCATTGACCACAACAACAATTGTCATGAAATCAGAACAACAACAGCAACAACAACAACAACATGAAAAGCAACATGAATTCTATCAGCAATGTTCTTTAAAACAAAAAGTTACTTTACATACACCCGATCTTTATCGTTTCTCTCTCATAGCCATTCTTCCAGAGTCTGCTTCAAGTCTAGTGCGTACTCTCATTCAAGGTCTTTTTATTCTACATACAGAAGCAAAATTAAATGAATGAATATATATAGACAAAAAAGAAACTAGAATACACATTTACATTTAACTTTTGCATGTGTATGCTTGTCTAATATGTTAAATTTTTGTTCATACATCATTTTAAATGAGTAAAACTTCTTTTTTTTTTTTTTTTTTTTTCTAATACATACATCTCATTTTCTTCGTAGTATCTTAGCATTCTCACTCTCGTATACCTTCATTTTGTTTTGTTTTTTTTTTCTTTTAGATTAACGAACTTGACCGTAGTAGCTATATCATTAGCATCGTTCTATTCTTCTGCTGCTATACATACAGAATTATGATGAATATACAATATCAGCAAGACTATGTTCCAAATACATTAAATTCAATGAATATGGATCGATGTTCGTATTTGCCATGCTTTCCTTTTGTCAGATCCACGAACAATGCGACCCGTTCACTTTTATTAGCCAATGTACCAATAGTATCATTAAGTATTCAAGATTTATATCGTCGCTATGCTTTGAATCAAGATGGTCCATTTATTTCATCGGTCATGGCTCATGAAATACATTCATACTTTTATAATTTAAGTGAAAATTATTTTCAACAATTTAAAGAACGATTAAAAGTCAATGTGGCCATCTTGGATTTTAATCTTTATCGTTTCCAAAAAATTCTAGAGCGATATCAATCTTTACAACATCTATTTGATTCGTATTTAACTTTAGTGAATAGAAACAATGAAAATTATGAAGTGAAAAATTTAGATTTTCATGAATTACGAATAGGTTTAGAATTTTTCCTTCAAATCGATGTTGATGTTTTCTATATGAAAACATGTATGTTTCGTGGTGCTATGCCACAATCATTCGACGAAGGATTATTTTGCAAAGCAGACTATCCATTGATACGTTATAGTTTTCTACCCTGTTACCAACCACAATGTCCTTTATGTCAAAGATCAAATGTAATTGCATCATCATCATCAAATACAGCACCTACTTCATATGTTGTCGAATTTAATACTTATCATTCACATCGCTTTCAAAATGGATATACAACTATATTAAATTGTCCAGCTACTTGTCAAACAAAAAATATTATTTATACAGTAACATGTTGCTGTGGTAACTATGAATATATTGGATCAACATCATCAAATCTCTCTGAAACAATTGAATCTATTCGAGAAACAAGCAATCGTTTCATTTCTGAAACTTTATTATGTGCATCATCATCATCAATACATGACATCATAGTAAACAACAATCAAGATGATTTTGTTTCGCTAGATGTAAATGAAAAATTTCGTTTGTATCAACATTTCATCCATTGTCCTCAAGCTATTCAATTATTTCTCGATCAGAATCTACAATATCATGCCATTATTCCAATAACTATAGAACAAACATTGATCAATGATCGAAATTATTCTACTGAAACTACAATACAATTGGACAATAGTATGGAAATATGGTTTCAACATTTACCAATACCACCAAATGGTTATCGCTTTTGTAAACGTCAACATCAGCAACAATATAAATTTTTCAAATCTCTCGAAAAAAAGATCGAGACCAATCAAAAACTATACACACCCGTAGATATCTATCACGTATCTATCATTGCTGTTTTACCTGAGCAATGTTCAACATTATTACGGCAAGTGATTGCATGTCTATTTAGTACACATGCTGAAACTAAATTAAATCGATTTAATTTATGTATGATGAATACAGAACATCGTTTTGGACCACCGCATCATTCCCTATGGTGTCAAAATATTGTCCGACCAACAGATGAACAAATTGAAAACAGCATCCGTACTATTGTCTGTCAATAATTCATGAAAACATTAGTGTTCTTAGACATATACATATATATATATATTGCTTTTGTGTACACTTATAAATTAGAGTAGAAATAAGTAGTGTTGTTCTAGATGTGAAATCATTCAAAACAAAACAAAACAAAAAAATTTCTATCATTTAATCTTCGTTGAGTTGTTTCTTTCATTTTTTGTTTTGGAAAAAGAAAAAAACTTCTCTCTCTTCTCCCATGTCATCTTTGCTTCTATTTCAGATAGGTGGTTAAACTCGTCATTATCAAACTTATACCACCAAAAAGATTATACACGCATATTAGAGTAGGATGGATTTATTAATGAAATTTTTTTTCTTCCGTCTAACCATAATCATCATTCTAGCTCTACTACTGCTATTACTATTCTGACTCTCAATTAAGTAATTTATACAATCATATTTTTCATATAGAGCGAAAAAATGTCTTTTAAACAAAGTCGTTGGTATTATCCATTAAAATTGACGAAACGAGTAACTTCATTTCGTCATCAACTTATTATTGAAGAATATCAACCAAAAACATTAACACGATATAATCAAGAACGTCGGCAATTCTTAGCAACTTTTCCTATGACAACATTAAATGAATCTTCTGATCACGCATCACTTCTACTTGCTAATGTATCAGGTAATCAATTATCAACGATTGAATCAACACAACGATCATCTGGTATTTATCTTCATCCATTAAATATGTCATTGGAATCGAAAAAAACAATTTCCTCCTATATACATGATAGAGTAGAACAATTATTTGGAAAAATAAGTCGTTTATATCAAATTGATATAGCTATTCTCAATTATAATTTATCACGTCTTATTAATATTATACAAATTTTTATATCCAATTATCGTTTGTATGAACGGTCCATGGTTTTATTTGATCATCATTTTCAATTGTCACATCATGATCAATATGTAAGAATGTTAAATGAACAAGAATTATTAATTCTATTGGAATTTTTTCTTCAAATCGATGTTGATATATTTTATATGAAAGTTTGTACTTTTCATGCCATCGTCAATGGTGACAAAGTTCATCATCATCATCATCATCCTAATCAAACTCAATTATTTTCCAATGAAGAAATTTTCTATACGAAATATGATTTTAATCCATGTCGATGTCCTCATTGTATCTTATGTTCATCAATTGATAAAACATCGGATACATATTCGAATTTATCAAATCTAGTACTCTTTTCAAATGGAGATGGTCATCAATATCAATTTCTTAATAATTATTTAGCTATTTTAAATCAATCTGCTAATTGTAAAACAGAAAATATTGTCTATGTATTAAAATGTATGTGTGGTGAATATGAATATATTGGTTCAACTCGATATACATTACATGATGTTTTACAATATCATCGACAACATATAAATCGTCTTATCATCGAACATTTATTATTTAGTCATCCAATTCATAATCTCTGCACATGTTCGAAAACTCAAGTGGACAAACAACGTGCAAATCAAATGCGTTTATATCAACATTTCGCACGTTGTCCTGTAGCATTAAAACTTTTTCTTCAATATAATTCGAATTATTGGTGTTTTGTACCAATGAAAATAGAGGAAAGTCATTTTGATGATTTATCTTATCAAACAATGACAACAACAACAACAACTTCATTAAACACAACCACTATGTCATCCACTCATCAACATCAAAATAACAAATCATCATTGGAGCATGACAAAAGAATAGAAAACTTTCTATTCAATGTACCACAATTGCCTCTTGGTTATACATTTTCTAAACGACAAAAGGATGAGCAATATGAATTTTTTCGAAAGATGAATTTAGAAACATATACATCTTGTTCAAATTTAGATTATTATCATATAACAATAATTGCTGTCTTACCCGATCATACGTCTAGTATGGTTCGGCAAATGATTGAAATTTTATTAGCTACACATGCTGAAACAAAACTTAATTCGATAAATTTACTTACTCATGATATGCAACAATTGTATAATTTACCTTATGATACTACACGAATATGGTGTGAAAACTTGCAAAAAAATTCATAAACAAACCATTTCTTTTCTCTGAAAATCATTTTTTTTTTTTTTTTCGGTTTTGTCTTGTTTGTAATTAGACAATCGTAGAAATTCGTAGATATGTGAAACAATAAGATAATGGTATTGTTCGTACATTTCTTTTTTTTTGTTTTTCTTTTCTTTATTCATTCATTCAAAAGATTTTGTAGTGTAGTTGTTGTTATTCAACGCATTCGATTTTATAATCCACTAGTATGTTTTAGATTAGAATTTTTATCAAAGAAAACGGCACGCAACAAAAAAATGAGTGAATCCTCACAGAATGAATCGTTAAATGAATATTTGGAATGTCTACATATTGATTCCAATGAATGTGACGAAGAGAACGATGAATCTGAATCAAATCCTGAATCATTTAATGCTCAAATTTATTCGCTACAAAAACAAATCATATCATCGATGGAAATTCAAACAAGATCAAATCCATCCATCATCGATTTACTACCAGAAACAGAACCATTTACATCTTCTATAGTGACAACGAATGAAATAAATTATATACCGAAGACATTATCTCTAATGAATCGTTCTGATCGACGTTGGACTATTGTACCAATATTACCACCATTGACAACGACGGAAATTTTGACACCAACTTCGCCCGTATTACTAACTGTGGATGACTTATTATTAGCAAATGTACCTAGTAAGTAATAACATGACGATTACATATATCCTATATATATATATAGGAGAACTCATACAAATTGCACTCACTCATTCTATCTAGTTAATTTACTATCAGCAAAGCAAATCTATCGTCGAGAACATAGTTGTGATGATTTGATTACCTATGAAAATTCTCATCATAGCTTAAAAACAAAAGAAGATACCTATCTATTATATGAACTTTTTCTATGTTTAAATACACAATGGCGTGTACCTGTCGTTTTGTTAGTATACAATTATGAACGAATGCTTTCAGCAATGGAATATTTTGCGTTGGAAGATTTTGTTAAACGAATACCAACTATTAATTGGTCACTCGATGAATGGAAATGGGCATTAGAATTCTATTTACAAATGGATGTCGATTGTTTCTATATGAAAACATGTTCATTTCGTCAAAGTCGACCACGGACATTTTTGGAAGATGGTCATT